TTTTTTATCTACTCTCGGGATGAAGCATACTAATGACTGCGAACGTCGTAGGTGACCACAGATCGCCATTCGGTATGTCTCTTGAACCAAACTATATCCTGTTTGTTGTCTCAAGTTTCTCTGTAGAGGAGGTCCACCTCTCAAGCGGCCCACCGATACCCTCTGGTCGTACAAACTGAATCTGTAACGGTCCCTCTTCGATTACTACGTGACGAATCGCTCATGATGTTTGCCAGAGCGAACAGCAAGCTCAAATGACGTGGGATCGTGCGCCCGTACGTCAATTCGTTGTACGCCTGAAAGCCGTTTCTCATGTGTATAGCCGAGACCGCAGTCCCAAGCCTCTCACCATTCTCCCAAAGCACCTCTACAAAGACCCCACGCGCCACTCGTAAGCAGCATGCGTGGCCCTGAATTGGGCAATTTATTAAGGAATCTGGTTGAAGCCACGACCCGGATCCCAGGCATCTTCTCAGTTCCCGGCGTCGACCAATCCGATGGTTTGTCTTCAACGCACGACAACTAACGTAAATCATATTATCTTCAGTCGCGGGAGCTCAGTTCAGGACAACCTGTGTGGCAGCCACAGACAATGGAGGTGTACCTGGTGCGTCAATTTGAAGGTATCACTCCCACGATCTAATGGTAACAAGCCACCTCCGGTTGAACTTGACATCGACCACGAGGCCCTCCCAATCGTCAAGAAGACCCTCCCAATCGTCCAGAGCTCGCTCGTAAGTCTTCGGTATATAGCCGCACACAATTAATCTTGTCAGACATGGGAACCTGTCCCAAGCACAGACAGGACACACAAACTCTCCACCCGGCGTCCGGAACCCTTTGCAGAAGTATGTTAATTGTGGCGGATGTACTGTTTAAAAATAATCCCTGTGCAACACAGCAGCCAGCTGTCCTCCCAAGAGGATGGTCCAACATGGTGATGGGGTCAAATGAGGTGTGCTCCTTTTTCTGTATACTGGCTTCAGCTAACTGCTCATGGCGTAGAAAATCAAATTAACTAAGCGCCAGCAACGCATGTACTTCGATATTCTCGGGGTACGCTTGTCGTGGCACAACTTCCGTGACCTGAATCCCTTACCCAACTGAAGAATGTCGACGGCGTACTATCTGCCGATATCATGAAATCGATACCTCTGCGGGTGAGACATCCCCATTCAGTCTAGCTGGGTGTCACTGACAAGGCGCTGAGATTCCGGCGCAAGTCATCGATGGTCGTTTGCCCACGGTATTGCGTAAACCGTTCGATGCGAAAAGTGTTAGCTAACAACCATAATACAGCTGGCGTGGACCATGTACCATCCCGTCACTGAACAGATCCCGGAGATGTTGCCTCCGCTGGATCACGACGTGCTGGAGCGCCGCGGGGGATGGGCGGCAGATCCGTGGCCCGCGTGGGCGGCGGCGCTCTTCGTGGCCACGGGAGACTATTATATGAGCCGAAGTCGGGGTGGAATACTAATCCAACATGGCGCCATGCTAGCAGGAAGGATTGTCCTTATAGCTCACCACGAAGATGATCAGAGGAAGATCCTGTTCACCATGTCCACGGAACCCCCAACCTACTACGTGCTCATTGACAGTGCACGCATCTTTCAATTTCAGCCTCCCGTTACCAAGCTGAACAAGCCATATTACTATCGCACCGTGAACGAGTTCCTCGCCAACCAGGACATGGACCAGAAGATCGAGATCCCAATCTACAGAGACCCCATCAATGATGCGGGCCGCGAGCAACGAGCTCTGTCGATGGCGTACACACTCTGCGGGGGAAGCCTGCCCGAAATCCAGCTTGCCATGACGAAGGTGGAATGGTGGGCATATCTCAAGCGCCACCACCACCTGAATGTGCTGCTTCAGCCTCAGCTTTTCAAGTCATCGATAAAGGAAGAGGAGAAGGAGATGGTTCGAGTCAAAGAAATAGAGGAGAAGAATGGCAGGACAGTCTATTAGATATATATGAGGCGACAGATCTGTGATCCGTCCCTCAAACCATACCATATTTCACCTTCCATTGTAACATGCTTTAGAACTGAGAAGGTCGTCCGCTTGGTCTCAATCCGGACCGTTTGCCTGCAGAAGAGGAGCAAATTGACCCGACTACTATCAATCATGATGGCTATGTAAAAGAACTCGTCCCATTCGGAACCACACTCCAGGCCGAGCGAAAGCGGGCAGAGGAGCGCGTTGGGTAGAAGACTCGGGTGGGCTAGACGCGTGGAGGGAGACTGGCGGTGGGAGGTGTGAAGATTGAGGGGAGTCTAAGGAAAATGTCGGTCTAACCCCAACCCTAGCACGATTAATTGGTAGCAACACCTAAAGCAACTTTAAGCAAGGAAAAATGATACCACCACGGGGGAAAGCTGGCGCTACTTATGTCATAAGCAAAGTGTCCAGGGCGAGTACACGAACAAGTGGGTTACCCAATTGAAAAACGAAATCTCCAGCGGACGGCGATGCCTTGTGGGTTATGTGAAACAGCATCTTTGGCGACTCTCCTTGGTCCCGGGGATCGTTTGCTGACGACGTGGCGGTACACTAAGCGTTGGACAGATGATAAACTTGCAGCCGCGCCCTACATCCACAGTTTTGTGACCTCATGGAGACGGGCAAGCCCTTGCAGCCGGACGTCTTCGGCGAGCAAGGCCAGCGGGGAGCATGCGGCGGATTCGATGTCGAAGAGCGTGAGCGTGCGCGGCGCGCTGGTGGTGAGCTGCGCAATGTCGGGGATGGGCTCTCAGACGACGACGCAAGCAGTGCCGGGTGCGGGGGAGTTGAGCCTGTTGAGGGCGATCCAGACGCTCGAAGGGAGCGCAGAGTCAATGAGGTCGAGGGGCTGGCCCCGATGGATGTGATGGAAGTGAATGCGAGGAGAGACGGCGAGATATAATAAGTAGCCTTGGTAGAAAAGGAGGCGCAGCCGAAGTAACAACGACGGCGAGGGCATGACGAAGGAGGCAGTAGCAGCCAGAGGGACGAAACGAGGGCGAGAGAACCGAGAGACGAGCTCGGGCGGTAGTCATAAGGGTGCGTGAAAGACGGAGTGGACGACAGATAAAAGAGGGCGGGAGAGACGATGAGAGCCCGAGGAGCGGGCGAAGGAGACGATGAGGGGCGAGGAGCGACGAGGAGCGAGGGAGGGAGGCCGCAGCATCAATGAAGTAGAGCTTGAAAAGGAGACGCGGAGCCAAAGGAGGACAGGAGGCGCGGAAGGGAGAGTGGCACTGGCACTGGCAGAGACGCCGAGCATACGGAGAGGGCTTGTCGGGGAGGGAATAACGGCCTGAGTGCGGGGGAAGACTGGAAAGATGCACAGTGTAGAAGCTGGCCGCTTGAAAAAGGCGGAGGTCCGCATCTTCCAGAGGGAGAACGACGTGGACAGTGGAGAAAAGGCGGTGCGCGAGAGAGGGGGAAAGGTAAAGCGGCGGACGGCGCGCGGCGGACACGCGCAGACAGCGGAATTTGTCGGACGACAACTTAATATTAATGAGAGAAGCGCCCAAGGAGCGCCCGACTGCGTACGAGATGCGTGGCTGACTCTTGTATGGCGGCTCTCGGAAGAGACGTCTCGTTTTGCTGCCTCAAGCGGCTACACTGTCTGCGACATGACTGGGTTGCATTTTGTGCGACGGAAGGGAGCGGGAAAGGATGATTAGGGTCAGGGTTAGCTTCGTAAGCACGGTGACTAACAAGTACAAAGTCTCCTCTTCTTGAATCCTCTCGCCTTGCTCTCGCCGTTAGCACCGTACTCAGCACCGTTTCAGTTGAGGAGTAAACACCGTGACTGGAAAAAGAGACCCCGCCTTTGGGATTCCCTCGCCCTGCTCGCATCCAGACTCTTCCATGCCGCTTGGTCCGGGGTCGACTCCCGCGCACAATTTTTCTTGAATCTTGAAGTCGTCCTCGGACCAACCCAAGGACCAACCTCGGACCTCAATGAGTCGTCTGCCGGTGAGCTCGAGGCTCGGTGCCTTCAGTCTACTTACCAGTATGTTCAAGTTCACTCGGTGATGCGACATAATGCAGCAACTAGGGAGAAATATCTCAGGCGGTTTTGACCACGGCTCCAGTGCCAGAAGTTTATCCACTGGGCAAGCGGCTCCTCCAATGTGCTTACAGATTTATTCAAAGAACGCGGAGTCACTTACTGCGTATACGTACACCCCAACCCCGAACTCGAAACCGGGCTCCGAAATTGAACGTCTTTCGTCTTCTGTGGGCTACACAAGTCGCAGCATTCTTTCTCAACCATTCTTGCCCAACCATTCTTTCTCGACCACAATAAATTTCTTAAGGAATCCAATACCGCTTGTCAAAGTACGTACCCATGATCCACCTCCGTGGATTCAGCAAGAGCAGCACCGTGCACGGAACCGCCTCATACTATTATTTCCCCGGTGACCGGAGGCTGGAGCATCGCATCGATTCTCGAGGGTTGAGGAGAGGAGCCTGAGGGGTCGGTCTGTGCATTTCGCGTTTTTTCTCCGCCAGTCCGCCGAGCCTCGATGCTCGCAGATTCACTCGGACGAGAGGTTATCATTAAAACGGCGTGCAACGAGCTGATTTTCTCAATCCCTGAGAGATGACGTGATTCCCTCCAGAGGCGTAAAGCACCAATCGTGCTTGGCTTTCGCATTTTTCGAGAATCATCTGGGCCTTCGTGTTTGGAGATTCGGCCCGTATGAACGGATCCAGACACGAGGGACGAGAATCTTAGCGGGCAACCGGGCTGTGTCAATGTTCGAATTTTATTCATCCAACTGAGCGGCCTCGCTGCGAATTCAACCTGACATTGGCAAGCATTCTTTTCGGTGAGCCGGCCGGCCGTGAAGATGCATGCGCATTCGAAGAATCCATATGAGACATTATAAGCCGGTGCATGTTCATTCTCGGCTGCGTTTGTTTGTGTTTTCAACCCTCGAAGCGGCTCTGCCAAGCAATTCAACAGCCCACAAAGCCGCTGGAATAACAGGACGTCGGAAGCCTCTGTGGACCATGGAAGTCGCCTCGTCGCTCTCAGGGATCCTGTATATGATGGAGTACGGAGGAGGTGAGGGTTCGACTCCCTCCGGAGGCTTGAGTCTGTCTCTCCTTTGACTTTTATTTTTCTTCCTTCTGCAGATCATCTCACCTTTCTTGATTCCTGCGTTTATGCACTCGAGGATTCAGATGCATTAATCCCCGACGAATCATGAGACCCCTAATCAGGGGCTATGTACAGTGTTCAATCTGGCGTGTGTTCGTTTTTTCAACCAAGCACCGGCTCCTCCAGAAAGTTGAACGGAGTGGAACTTAGCCACAAGTTACAACGCAACACGGCGAGGGAACCAATAAAAGCCTCTGTGGACCATGGAAGTCGCCGCGTCGCTCCCACTTCTGTATATGATGGAGTAATGAAGGTGAGGGTTCGACTTCTCCGGAGGCTTGGTCTCTTTCCCGGAGTACTTTTTCTCTTGGCATGGGTTACGGTCGTGTATATATGCAGTGAGTAGGACTATGCATACTCGCTGGCCGAAGATCTAAAGGGGTCGTGAGTACTCAACCAAGGGATTATTCGCGAAGTAGATCTATGCGTGCAGCGATATTAGCCAGTGCTAAATGGGCCCGCAATTAAATCACGCTAATGGAATTTTGCATTGAACTGAATTGAACCAGCTCCCGCCGGAACAAGGCGCCAGCACGAGAGCAATAGCGCATGAAAGGCGGTGAATCTGAATCTGAATCAGCATCGAGCACACTTCTCGTCTCGAAATCTTGGTTTCGCGTACTTGGGAACACCCCAGCCCTAAATCTCCAATGGTGCAGAGCAAAATACCGTGTGCTTTATTCGAAGACTTTCAGGTTCAAACTGCGGATATCTTTTCGCGCGCCATGCGGCACAATACAATGAACATTGGAAGATGTGCAGAGGGAAACTCCAAAAGAAAAAAAATGTTCAAACTGCCGAACTGTCCGAGTGCTTGTGATGCACAAGAAGCGTGGACTTCTCCTCGTGGCCACCTGAATAACAATCAGGTCTCGAAACTCTGAGGTATATGGTTTTAACCCACTTGTGGAAGTGTCTGCGCTTGGAGCCTCCACCACTGAATCCTCCTCGTCCCCCTCCTCCAATAATCCTCGTTTCCTCATTGTCAGCTGCATGCGCGCAAAGGACAGCTCCATGCGTGATATTGCGGCTCCGTGAGTGGCAATGGAATCTTCGATGGATGGGCCGTCTGCCTCTGCAAGATATGCACAATGAACAGTGAAGACAGTCCTTAATCAGGAGAACTCACTTTTACTGGCGCCTTCCGACCTCGCCGCGATGACGCCGGCCACGATGGAAAATACCGTCCACAGAGCTGAGATCATGGCGAACGTCGACGCGAAGACGCTGGTGAATGCCGACCCCAATGGTTTACGCTGCGGCACCTGTCGAACATAGCTGATGACAGGGACCCTCTCGGTTGTGTTGAAAAACTGAACAGTGTCTGCCCAGTGCTTCATCACTGTCACATTGGAAGTGGCTATTCGCGATTGGTTGGAAAACGGGGGAGATGTCTCTTGAGAAATATTGGAGACAGGTGAGATGGTTTCATTGAACATCGCAGGTGAGGCGAAAATCTGATTCTCCAAGATGATTCCCAATTCCATTCGTGCGAGGTGATAAAGGGCTTGGAAGACATTCTGGGCAGCGTCGTTAACAGCGGACTGGGTCAAAGCGTCATGGTAAGGTTTAAGATGACCAGACTCAGTCCAGTCGGGAAAGTCAAAGATGAGGCTTGAGAAGGAGCCCTGGGAAACATCCACGCCGGCCTCATCAAGAGAGAAAAGAGATATTGAACTCTGCGATCCTACTAGCCGTGTCACCTCCCCCCGACAAGGTAGTGCCGTTGGACGTAGAGTGAATGACCTTGCAGTCTCGGGGTTGCCGTCACAATCACAGCAGGGCACCACAGTAACCGAAAATGTGTCGAGGTCGAGCGCCTCGCTGGAAATAGGAATTAATTTTGTTGCAGGATTCCACAGTAGACCTGTACGCACTCAATCGGGCCCCACGAGTTCAACTGGATATGATCATCTCAGTTCGTGCCGCAAGCTCATTAGTAGTACTTCGTCTCTCACCCAGTCCCTGGACCATAAGGCATTGAACACGTCTCGGGGGGATTCAACGGAGCTTTGGATAGAAAAGCTAGGTGGAGGAGGGGTCAAGGTCGCGAGGAAGGAAGTGCCATGAAGACACAACACATCAAGCTGACGTTCGGTGTCAGTGTTGGCGGGGATATGGCGGGAAATAAGAGGGGCACATCACCGAAAAAGTTCCAGTGAATGGATGGAATGCGGTGGCCGGACTTCCAAGGTCCCATGTCATGTTGGACTAGATAGGATGTTAGATTGAACTGTAAAAATGTTCAATACCAATGGAAAACCGATAACCACCACATCACACCCATCCGAGAACGGATTGTTATAATAAGAGAAAGCCTTAACAGGGGATAGTGTTTCGTCCCAAGCGTCGATGATAGTGACGTTGAACATGGAATTGTTGAGAAAAAATGTCTCCCCAACGGTCAGGATCTGCGGGGAAAATGAGATCCCTGAGGTTTGAAGGAGTTTGGGGAGTAAGTTGCTGAAGAGTAAAGGAGGCAAAGTATCGTTTGGGCGATACGTGGCTTCCTGGACGATCTCGTAGGCGGCGAGCGGAACTACGCGTCCAACGTTGGGTGAGTATGGTGCGGTGAATGATCAACGGTGGAACGCACTGTTGAGAAGAATAAGGAACACAGAGATGACCAGGAAGCCGGCCAAAATGCAGGGTGTCGCCCACCGCCAGGGATAGGCTGAGAAAGATAAGCAAGCAGCATGGTGAGCTCTTTTGATAACTCACGGCGCTGAGACGCGTATCCAAGTCGATACGATGTAATCGGTGACAGGACACTTTGGAGGGAGAACATGAGAGGGGGATTTGACGTCCAGGCCGCGCCTGCACAATGTTATAAGAGATCTAGAGCCGATGGACAGCTGAGAATTAGTTCTAGAGATGGATAAACAGACGCCCGGGGAGGCAGTGCATTGCGTCCTCCTGGACAGGGGGCTTGGGGAGGAAATCCGACTCCTATTCAGTTACGAATGGCAAGGATGTCGATCCTGGTTCAGCAAGGTCCAAGGGCCTGTAAGGCGCTGCTCGAGTGCACCGGATCGATCCCAATGCTCTGCGCAACTCAATTAACGTGAGATTCTGTCAAAAAGTGTAGACTTGTGATCACTTTTGCCGAAAGCCCAACGAAAGCCGAATTACAGCTAATGGCAGTACCGAAGGCGCGAATCGAAAATTGCCGTTTTGGGCAGATTTTGATCCCCGCGAAAGAATTGCCTATATCTCAATGAGTTTTGCACGGATGGACCTGAAAACTAGCCAGATAATTCGGGCTAATTCGTGCGCAATTAGTGATAGAGTCAGATCGGTTAAAAATAATATGATTTGGTTACCCATGAGTTCACGCTTCCGAGGCCAAAGCTCGGTACTGAAAGCCCGGTTGTTGTCCGATGGGTCTGATTTTTTTTGGAGGGGAGTATAGGACTGTTACAAAGCTTTTCATAGAGCCGTATTGGCTACTGGATGTATCCGAGGGTGGGCCGTCGAGTTTCCTCCGCCCCGGTTGAACTCACTCTAGCTACTTCAATTTTCCACCAAATACTATAGTAAAACGGCCCATGCAATCGCGTTTCACTCCCTTACCTCCAGTACATCTGCCCGGACACCAGGATCCAGAACAATTCTGCTAATTGGGCCGCGCCGCGTCTCAAATCGGCTATCATCAAATTCCATGTCACAAGTGACTCAATCACGGCCACGCGTCCTTTGCATCTTGCTTCCACCATGGCCAGGAAACAGCGCCCCACCCCAATTAGAAACAACTATTCACGGGACCTCAAACGGCGGGTCATCCACTTGTCGCAGAAGCACCATATGGGCTCCGCTGAGATTGCGGTTTTACTTGACATGCCTTTACGCGTCGTACAGCGCGTCCGCCAAGTCTGGAACGAGGTCGGAGAGGTTTGCAGACAGCGCGTGAGGTCCGGAAGGGAGCCTTTGATGTCCCGAGAGGCTGTGGATGTAAGTTTTTGTCACAATCTCTCAGGTCAAACAACGCGTCTCAAACAGCATAGATGATGCTAGGGATGCTTGACCATTCTCCGAATCTGTTTCTTGACGAGATCCAGGAACAGCTTTCTGCCGTTCATGGCATAGAGTTGTGTCTGAGGACAATTAGTCGCACCTTGAAACGTTTGGGGATGACAACCAAGAAGGCAAGCATTCTTCGTCAAGCTGTAATCGGGATGCCAATTATGTGTAGCTTTCGAAGCCTGCCGCAGAAAGATGCGAAGAAGATCGCCGTGACTTTGTGTTTGAAGTTGGCAAATACCCGGCAGAGTATCTTGTGACAGCGGACGAATCTGCCGTGAATATACTGACCACGTACCGTCTGAACGGCTGGTCTTATAAGGGGACCCGGGCACACAAGTCCTGCAATTTTGTACGAGGCACACGGTACGGGATTCTGTCTACATTCATGTCGGTTTATTTTGATTCATGTAGCTATTCACTTCTTCCTGCAATCACGGTCGACGGCCTGATCTACACACATGTCAAGATGGGTGGATACAATGGTGAACAGTTCGTCGAGTGGCTCGAAGGCTTGCTGGAGGTCATGAATCCGTATCCTGCTCCTCGGAGCGTCTTGATCCTCGACAATTGCCGCATTCATCATGTTGACGCTGTTGAAGAGATGTGCAACGCAAAGTCCGTTTTATAATCCTTTTTTTTTTTGTCAAATAAACAATTCATTTACCCGTGCCAGGGGCATCAAGCTTCTGTATCTCCCACCGTACTCGCCTGATTACAACCCCATCGAAGAATGCTTTTCCTGGATAAAACACTACATTCGCCGCAACGGGCAAGAATTTCGTCGGATCTGTGAGGGTGATGACAAGGCCGCCCCTTACCTTTACTTGTACAACGCTATGGCCCAGATTACAGCGAAGGCTTCTCGGGGCTGGTTTGCTCACTCCGGATATCTGTAGTTGAACCAATTA